ACTTCTTTCCATGGCTCTATTTCCCCCCTAAACTAATGGATATTAGAGCCAGAGTAGCATTTGTTTACCAACTGCTGGGCACTAGCACAGTAAACATGAAAGTTTCTCCATGTGGTTATTGGTTTTAGAAATTTCCAGCTAAACTTCCTCCATCTCCAGCTGTTCAGAGAACAACTTTCAAATCAAGTTTTTTTTGTTGTTTTGTTTCTGTTTTTTTGAGTTGGAGTCTCACTCTATCGCCCAGACTGGAGTGCCGTGGCCGCTCCGGCCACCGCAGCCTCAACCTGCCGGGCTCCGGCGATCCTTCCGCCTCAGCCTTCCGAGTAGCTGGAATTACAGGCGCGCGCTACCACGCCCAGCTGATTTTTGATTTATTGCAGAGATGAGGTCTCACCAAGTTGCCCAGGCGGGTCTCGAGCCCACGGGCTCAGGCAATCCACTCACCTCAGCCTCCCAAGGCGCAGGATTACAGGCTGAGCCTGGCTCAAATCAAGTTTTAAAAAATAGTTATTCTTCCAGTAGTTTAAAGTAATGTCCCTCCTGGGTCCCTTGATGTCTCTCCTGGGTGCTCCAGGAGGTCTGAGAAGACTGGGCCGCAGCATGGAGTATAACCCACGGGAGGCTACACTGGGTGGACTTCTAGGAGGAGGTGTGTCTGTGAACTTGCTTCCTGTGAGTTGAGAATTGAGAGGAGGGTTTAGCAACACAGACGGTATTTGTAACATTATGTGACAATGTCAGGGCATCCACCTACTTGTTGACTAGTTCAGGTATCCACAAACTTGTGACTTGAGCCCCTATGACTTCTGTGCAAGAGAATCTCTTTATAAGCTGTAATGTGTTCAGGTTTGCTAGCTATAAGACAACAGGGTGTACAATTTTGGAATCGTTTCTTTTGTCAAAACATAATTTTAACAATAATCTATCAAGATATATTGTGGAAACTGACTTCCATCGAAGGACTGGAGAAGAATAAAGCACTATTTGCTTTAATTTGGATAAAACTTTAAAAGGAGTAGCCTGAGCTTACTGAGATGATTTTACAATCTCTCTTTTTTTTTTTTTTTCTTTTTTCTGAGTCGGAGTCTCACTCTGTTACCCAGGCTAGAGTGCAGTGGCACGCTCACAGCCACCACAGCCTTGACCTGCTGGGCTCAGGAGATCCTTCTGCTTCAGCCTTCCAAGTAGCTAGGATTACAGGCATGCACCAACATGTCCTGTTAATTTTTTGATTTATTGGAGAGATGAGGTCTCGCCAAGTTGACCAGGTTGGTCTCGAACCCATGGGCTCAGGCAATCCTCTTACCTCAGCCTCCCAAAGTACTGGGATTATAGGCGTGAGCCACTGCTCCCAGCCTACGATCTCTTTTTAAAACCCTATCAACATATCTCTCAGAGTGTTATGTCTACTATGAGTGTTATTAAAACAAAACATAGAAGTCATTTAGGTAGACCACGCGTGGTGGCTCATGCCTATAATCCCAGCACTTTGGGAGGCCGAGACAGGAGCGATGCTTGAGCCCAGAAGTTCAAGACTGGCCTAGGCAACATAGAGAGACCTCACCTCTACAGACCTCTTGCCCAGCTCCTTGGCAGACTGAGGCAGAAGGGTCACTTGAACCCAGGACTTCAAGGTTATAGTCAGTTATGATCGCACCACTGCACTCCAGCCCGAATGACACAGTGAGACCCTGTCTCTAAAAAGATAAGAGAAACCATTTAGGTAGACATTTTCCCCTATGAGTAGGATTGTTGCTCATGTAGGTCAGCAAGAAGCAATCTCATTTATCACATTAAAAATATTCAACTGATCTATACAGTGCTTGTTTATTGTATTATACAAAAGCATGATTTTGCAATGTTTTGAAAATTAAAAACAAGACTGAACTTTCACCACATACAGCTTAAGTGCCACGGCCCTCAAAGAAATTCTCCAGGGAGGGTTGAGGAGAGGGGTGTATGTGTAACTGGGTAGCCAGTTAAAAGAGATAAAACAACTCCCTTTCAGCAGCAAAACCACGACTGTGTTGGGTAATTATATGTTGCACATCTCCCTCGTAAACAAAAACATTTGCTTCCATTTTGGTTGAAACAAAACCCAACTTTTCCTAGCTGTCTCTGCTGCCTGGCCAGTGAGCTCAGTGCCACTAATGAAAGGCTGTCATCCCAGGGTCCACCCTCTGGAGGCCCACTTGACCTCCGAGTACAAAACCCACTGTTGCAGGGCACAGACCCAGGCTGCCTCTCTCCCTCCCTTGACCTCCATCTCACACTGGTCTTCCTGTAAAGAACCTTGTCTTTTTACTCATAAAGAACTAGCCCTGAAGGTGAGCGTGGCTCAGCATGGAGCCCTCAGCACTGCAGAAAAAAGTTTCACAGCACCTAGCACAACTCTGGGGAATCAGGAACCTCGACTCAGACACCCAAGTCAGTCTCTCCTTTGGAATCCACCAGTCCCAGCCTGTGAGACTTTGGTTCTCAGTTCTGTCACGAGAGTGACTGACATGCTTTTTTTTTTCTTCCTACCAAAGAGTACAGATGCAAATTAAGTCTTCATATACCTGATTTGAAATTCAGCATCATTTGGGAAATTGCTGGTGGTCATCGACAACGGAGTAGCGGGTAACTGTGGGCCTTCTAATGAGTCTTCTGGAATGGCAGGATTTACAACTGCAGGGACCTCTTTCATCTTTGTCCCCCACAAATCATTTCTCAGGGTTGGCCAGGGAACAGACCCAGTGCACAGCCTGTAGAAACGCATTCCCAAAGAACGTAAGAGGGCAATTCCTCTTGGTCTGGATTAGAATGTGATGCGGGCCAGGATAAGAGAAATAGTTTGGAATGTGTCAATTTGTGATTTTTAATTTGTCTTCTCCAGGCAGGCACGGTGGCTCACACCTACAATCTCAGCACTTTGGGAAGCCAAGGCAGGAGGACTGCTTGAGGCCAGGAGTTTGAGACCAGCCTGAGACCCCATCCCTACAAAAAATTTAAAAATTAGCCAGGCATGATGGCATGCACCTATAGTCCCAGATACTCAAGAGGCTGAGGTGGAAGGATCACTTGAGCTCAGGAGGACGAGGTTGCAGTGAGCTGTTATCGTGCCACTGCACTCCAGCTCGGAAGACAGAGCCAGACCCTGTCTCTAGAAAAAATAAAAACAAATGTTCTCCAATGTGTAAACTACCAGCATGATTTCCTTATTCTCTTACACCTTTCTCAATTTTCCTTTTCATGTGATTTCTGAAAAGGGGTGACCAGCTGATGGTTTTTTGAACTCACAGGTCACAGGAATGAGCAGAACCAAGCCCTCTTCAGTGAAGGGCTCGCTGGCTCTGTGAGGCTCTTCTCCCTGACTCAAGCAGGATGTGGTTTTGTCTTTTGCAGAAAAGCTTCCCTGGGAATGCCACTGGTGAGCGTGGCATGCAGAAGTCTGATTTGATGACTGCAATTCAGTCTTTAAGCAACCAAAAGAAAGGTGCTGGTCTCAGTCCTGCCTGTGGCCACTGCTGACCTCAGCATTCACTCCACTTAAACTCTCAGTGGCGAGACAACACAGCGTAAGCAAACCAACAATTTCCCCTCCCCAGAAGGAAGACCTTCTGAGGTCAGTGGTAAAATGTTCCCTAAAATGCAACTATAAAACTGGTGGGGGCAATGCCCTCAGGTCCCCTCCCACTGTGGGAGTTTTTCTGTCTACTCAATAAATCCTGCTTTCTAAAAAAGAAAACAAAAAACTGGTGGATCCAGCTGGGCACGGTGGCTCAAGCTATAATCCCACACCTTAGGAGGCAGAGGCGAGAGGATTGACTGAACTTAGGGGTTCAAGACCAGCCTGGGCAACTTGGTAAAACCTCATCTCTAAAAAATAATAATAATAACCTGGTGGATCCTGCAAAATGAATGAGAATATGAGCTGCCCTTACACAGAGTCTCTAGTGCAAATCGTGTTCCCAAAAGATGCAATTTGGTTTTTATTATAGTTAATTCCACAAGGAAGGTCACTCATTTTTGCTAGGTGGGCAAGCTATCCCAGAGGACACACCAGAGGAACCATCTCTCCCCACTGCAACACACATGCCCCCAACACTCACCAGCTCACATGAACATATACATGCACTCACACCCTGTACAACTCACACACACTGGAGTGCACACTGACAATCACTCACTCATGCACACACATGCATGCAGACCTATGAGCACACCTCACACCTGTGTATACACACTGAGTCATGTGCACACTCATGCACACACACCCACCCATTCACACTTGTGCACACATACACGTACTCATCATGAGCACACTCACATACACTTACATGCAGACACACTCATGACACACATGACCATTTAAGCACACGTTCACATGTGCACACTCACATGCAGACACACTCACTGGTACATACTTGTAGATACACTCACACTCATCTTAAGCACACTCATACGTGTGCACACTCATGCACACTTACATGCAGCCACACTTATGGGCACACAGTTGTGAACACAGTCATACATGTGCACACACTCATGTACACACCTGCACTCACTCAAGGGCACACACTCACATATTCCTTTGAATGCACATTCACACACTTTTGACATAGTGAGGATTTGCAGGGAAGAGCAGCTAAAACTCTTTGGCTCTGATGACCAGGTCTGAGTGCTCGGCAGTCAGTAACTGCACATTGGGGTTTGGGTCTCTGACAAAGAACCCTCCCAAAGTTATGTGCCCCCTCCCTTGTCTCATTCTGCATAGGGTGATGGATCAGAGGCCAGGATGGGTCTTGAAACAGACGTGAATCAAGTCGGAGCTACAGCAAGGGAGGTGCACACCTCAGCCGCGGAAGTGGCTGCACAGTCTCACAACTGTGGAGACCATTGCAGTGTCTTCAGGACCATTCATGTGCACAGCAAAATGTCTCTTAAAAACAACCACGGAAGAAGCCATTTGGAGGTCACACATCTCCTGTGCCAGCATTTTTAAGGCCAGGAAGGGGCTACCGCTTCACCTCCTGCAGTTCCCTCCGTGTGGCCTGAAGGAGCCGGCGAAGCTTCCAGAACACACTGGGGGTTGCTCTCCAGGAGTCCCTGGCGGGGCCACCTAGATCTGCGCACTCCTGCACTGCCTCCTGTAACTTCAGCTGAAGCTGGAAGGAGATGGCAGAGCTCTCCAGAGGTGAGGAGAACCAATGGCGGAATATTTTGTCACAGATGACCTGAGGGAAAGAAGGGGTGGCGGTTACTTCAGGGCAGCAAGTCATCCTTCAAAGCTTCCACCACTGGTTATTAAACAAACTTTTGCTTTTCTCTCACACCCCCTGTCCTTCAGGGAGGACACTCCAGAGACTACCTGATTCTGAAAAGTGCTCTCCCTTCCGGAAACTAAACCATTCAGCACCGTGAACAAACGACACCTCAGAGAGGAGAAGGCTACCTCTGTGTGAGGCAGAAAGTTTCATTTCTAGCCCCACTGGAGTTGGAGAAAGTTCTGGGCAACATTTCAAAAAGGGCTGAATACATTTCTGAAGAGAAAGGGGAGCTGAAGTCACATGCAGTAAGGAGTCAGCCCTCTGCAGGCCTGAGGGTGGCCAGCCTGTGGTCATCACCTGAAGAAAGGCTATCTTATCCACAGGCTGGTAGGAACCACAATGGCCACCAGGCATGGTTGTCCTGAGGGCCAAGTGGCACGTGAGGGAGAAGTAGTGAGCCACTGCCCTTATAGCCTTTTAAGGCTCATGAAGAAATGTTTTGACAACATTTTGTGCCATCTGAAAAAAAAAATTAAGTAAAGATAAAGGTATATTTGAGGGAAAAGACTGCAGGCCTAAGGTCCTTTGAAGAAGCTTTTGAAATGTTTTGTTTTTATTTATTTATTTATGTTGAGTCAGGGGTTTCACTCTGTTTCCCAGGCTGGAGTGCAGTGGCATCATCATGGCTCACCACAGCCTTGACCTCCCAGGCTTGGGCGATCCTCCTACCTAAGCATCCCAAATAGCTGGGACTACAGGCGTGCACTCTCATGCCGGGCTAATTTTTTTTATTTTTTGTAGAGATGAGATTTTGCCATGTTGTCCAGGCTTGTCTCGAACTCCTGGGTTCAAGGAGTTGGAGGCTGTGGTGAGCCCTGATCGTGCCACTGCACTTCTGGCTGGATGATAGAGTGAGACCCTGAATCAAAAAATAATAAAAATAATAATAACTAGTCCCCTGTTGATGGACATTGAGGTTATTTACCAACATTTACTATTATGAACAACACTGCGATGAATATCTTACATATGTGTCATTTTCATTTTATGCATGTAACGAAATGTCTAGAAATGGAATCTCTGGGTCAAAGGATCTGTGCACTTTTTGCTTTGATAGATATTGTTAAATGGACCTCACAAAAGTTGTACCAACTTACACTCCCCAGCAATGTATCCAAGAATGCATGTTCCCCCATGGCCTCACCAATGCAGGTGTCACAGATACTTTTATTTTGCCAATAGATAGCTGAATGGTTTAGTTTGCATTTTTCTTGAATTGAAAGCTATTTGTGCTTCTTTTTCTTTCTTTCTTTCTTTTTTTTTTTTTTTGAGTCGAAGTCTCACTCTGTTGCCCAGGCTGAAGAACAGTGGCATGCTCACGGTCACCATAGCCTTGACCTTCTGGACTCAGGAGATCTGTCTGCCTCAGCCTTCCAAGTAGCTAGGACTATAGGCGCACACCACCACACCTAGCTAATTTTTTTGATTTACTGTAGAGATGAGGTCTCACCAAGTTGGTCCCCTGGGCTCAGGCAATCCTCTTGCCTCAGTTTCCCAAAGTGCTGGGATTACAGACATGAACCACTGCGCCTAGCCTGTGCTTCCTTTTCAATGAATGGTCAGGTTTATATTTTTTGCCGAGATTTCTATCAGGTTGTAGGTATTTACTTTTATTTGGGGGGGAGGGGTTGTTTGTTTATTTGTTTTGAGTTGGAGTCTCACTCTGTTGCCCAGGCTAGAATGCAGTGGCACGCTCACGGCCACCGCAGCCTCGACCTGCTGGGCTCAGGGGATCCTTCCACCTCAGCCTTCCAAGTAACTGGAACTACAGGCATGTACCACTGAGCCCAACTAATATTTTGATTTATTGTAGAGATGAAGTCTCACCACATTGCCCAGGCTGGTCTCAAACCTGTGAGCTCAGGCAATCCTCTCACCTCAGCCTCCCAAAGTGCTGGGATTATAGACGTGAGCCAGCATGCCCAGCTCTTTTTTTTTTTTTTTTGGTATTAATTTGTGGGCACTCTTTATATCTGAAAGACATTAGCCCCTTGCTTCAGTCTGGTTCCTAGGAAGTGGAAGTGGACTCTAAGCGGGAGGTTTGTATCCAGGGACTTGTTGAGGACCCTTCTTGAGAAACACTCCAGGGACAGAGGAGGAAGTAGGTATGTGGGGCCCAGGAGAACCCTGCAAAGTCATCCCTTCCTGAGTTAAAGGGATTGGGTTGGTGTCAGCCCTACCCCTCCACTCCATAGTCACTAGATGCTGTCTCTGGAAAGTGGTGTAGCCTTGGCAAAGACTGTCCTGGGGGACACATGGACTCTAGCAGCTGGGATGCCCTCCGTCCATACCCACACACCTGGTCTGTAAGAGGAAGTACAAATATGTTGCAGATTTTCTCATTTAACATTTAAATTTGTGTTCTCCCTCTTTTTTTTTCTGGTAATTTGTTTTCACCAATGTGGATTTTTTTCCTGAAAATCAAATTTGTCAACTGTTTGTCTTATGGCTTTGTTTTGTACTTACAAAGGCACAACTACAGTGAAACAATATTTTAAATTCTCCCAGTTTTTTTCTGGTAGATTAAGGATTTCATCTTTATGTGTAATATTTGAGCCATCAGGACACTAGTTTGATGTAAAGAGTGAAACAGAAAGTTAACACATCCTTTGCTGTGCCCAGCTACTTAGTTTACTAGCAACATTCAGCAAATAATCCAGTTCCCCACCGCTCTAAAATGCCCTTTTAATCACAGGCTAAATGCCCATATAACATTGGGTCTATTCCTGAAATATTTTTATTCTGTTTCACTGATGTGCAAATCAACTTATGCTGGTCAAGGATTTTTTTTTTCAGTAAGATTTTAAGTTCAAAAGGAAAATTAACAAAACAGGCTGGACGCAGTAGCCCATGCCTGTAATCCCAGCACATTGGGAAGATGAGACTGGAAGATCACTTGTTCAAGACCAACCTAGGCAACATAGAGAGATTTTATCTCTGCAAAAAAATTTTTAAAATAAAAAAATTTGTCAGACATGGTGGCACATGCTTGTAGTCCTAGCTACTCGGGAGGCTGAGGCAGGAAGATTGATTGAGCCCAGGAGGTTGAGGCTGCAGTGAGCTGTGATCACACTCTAGCCTGGGTGACAGAGAGAAATTCTGACAAAAGAAAGAAAAAGAAGGGAGGGAGGGAAGATAGGAAAGGAGAGAGAAACTGACTCAATCCTGACTTCTACCCTACATCTTTAAAATAAAAAAAGAAATTAAAAAATAAATAAGTAATAAAACTAAAAAGGAAAGAAGGAAGGGAAGGAAGAAGAGAAAATTAACAAAATATTTACAAGATGAAGAAAATTATCTGTAATCCTACCATCTAAAATAATTGCTTCTGACATTTTGTTTCCTATCTTTTCAAGCATATATTAGTTAACAAAAATAGGGTCATATTGTAAATACTGATTTGTAGCCTGCATTTTTTTTTACTCAATAATGCTTCATATTTTCTCATATACGTAAAGAAAGTGTAATTTCATTTATTCAAAGGCAATAATCAAACATGTGCACAAATAAAGTTGCTCAGCTAAAGAGCATGCATATTTCTAACGGTCACACCCTTTGCAGAGAGAGAAAATTTACCATCATGTCAACAATATAGAACCTTCTCTATTTCCCTGAAGCCTCAACTGTCAGTTAATTGCATTTTAATGACTATTCCCAATTGGTAAGTGAAATTTACTATCATTGGATTTTAATTTGCATGACTTCGAGTGGGAAGATCAAATAATTTTCCAAGTTGTTTGGCCACTTGGAGTTCACCGTTTATGTATTTCTAGTAACTGTTCTTCTCTTGCCAATTTTCTTTGTGTTTCTCTTGCCTCTTAATGAATTTGTAAAAACCCTTTCTATATTAAGGGTGTAACCTTAGTCTCTCATTATGCTGCCAAGGGCAAGTGTTTGTGTTCCCATTTCATGGGCTGGGCTCACAAGGTGGTGAATGATTCAGTGAAAATCACCTTGTTCCCACAGCTCAAAAAGAATTATTTCATCACAGAACCCGCCAAGGCTGGGAGTCCTTAATAAATTAAAGAGGCTGGGACCAGGTGCAGTGGCTCAGTAATCCGAGCACTTTGGGAGGCTGAGGCGGGCTCATGGCTCACTTGAGCCCAGGAGTTCAAGCCTCAGTGAGCTATGATCATGCCACTGCATTCTAGCCTTGGTGACAGAGCAGGACTCTAACCAAAAAAAATTAATTACTTCAAGAGTTTGGGCTGGAGACGCCTCCAAAGGCTCCCTCATTGCTGGACTTCCTTAATGTGGAAATAGCCAGTGATTCCAGAACTCAGCCAGGAAGTTTATGTAGACATTGGGGTGGTTGATCCGGAGCTTTTGTTTGGCCTGGCCAAGGATTACCAGAGTAACAACACAGCCTTCCAGTCCTCCCCAAAACAGTCCCTGCCATGAATGACGTAGGACCACACTGTGCTCCTCTGGCATCTCTGATCTAATTCCCGCCTCAGGTCTACCCTGGGCTCCCATTGACCCGTGAAGAGTAGTAGGGAGAAGAGGGAGGTTGGGTTATGGTGCAGGCCCCCTGGAGGTGTGGGTTGGACAGAAGGATTAGAAAGTAGGAGCATGCTGGCAGGCCTCGCAGCCAGGCCATGTAGAGGTGGGCTTGACACTTCCTGGTCCTTCCAGAGGCCTGGGATGGCCTCCTCCAATGTGTCCTCACCCTCCTAAGAGCCTAGAGTGGGAGAACTGTTTCTTGAAGGATTAGTCTCTGGGTTCTCAGTGTGTGTGAGAGAGGGAGAGAGGGGAAGATGGGGAGAGGGGGAGTAAGAGAGTGGGGTAGGAGGAGAGGGAGGAGAGAGAGAGGGAAGAAGGAGGGAGGAGAAGGAGGGAGAGGGAAAGGGAGAGGGAGATTAAGTAGATGCTGGTTGGAGCCCTGGGTACAGGCATCCCAGCACCCGGTTTTGCTGAAGGATCCTCCCATGAGACTCCATGGGATCACTTGACCAACAACCCCAGGAAAAACAAGTATCACTGTTGATTAACAAAGAACACATGATTATCCCGCTCCCCATGGCCCTGCCCTTATTGACCACATTGAGCGGGATGGCCTGGAAAGGTTGACCTTCAACTCTGCCAAGGGGATCTGCAGTGCTAGAGGGTAGAAACGACCAGAGAAAACCAACTCTTCCCCCACCCTGGCCGCCATGGCAGCACTGCTTACTTGCAGGTTGCTGTTGACGCGTTGCGCACCACATCTGTTGACTCGCAAATCACACTTGGAAAAGCAGTCAAAGAAATTGCAATCTTCATCTCCCGTGCAATTTTGCTCCAGAATTTCCCTCATTTTAGGCTCAAAAAAGGCCATGTCCACATCAATAGCCACCACCTGTAATCAAAACAGCACAGCACTATCAAAGGGCCACTGTGGGCTCAGCAGACTGTTGACGGCTCTTTGTCCTATCTTGTGGGTGCTGCTGTCCAGAGAGAGGTGATCAAGGAACTCCCACCAGCCAAAGCAAAAAGCCCAGGCTACGTCACGGGAAGTGTCTTGCTTCCCGCAAAGCATTTGCAAGTATTTGTGGTGTTTTCTTTTATACAAGCAACTATCACAGATCGCATTCCAAGGCTGTGACTGCAGAAAGAAACTTTGTCGTCACTAATTAAAGCCTATGATTTGGAACTACAGCCACAAGTATCACTTCTCACCTTAGACATTTTCTAGCTTTAAAAGTCAAGTCTCTGAGGCCAGGCACAGTGGCTCATGCCTGTAATCTCAGCACTTTCGAAAGCCAAGGCAGGACGACTGCTTGAGCACAGGAGTTTGAGACCAGTTTGGGTAACATAGCAAGACTTCATCTCTACAAAAAAGTCCAAAAATTAGCTGGGCGTGGTGGAGCATGCCTGTAGTTCCAGCTACTCAGGAAGCTGATGTGGGAGGATTGCCTGAGCCCAGGAGGTTAAGGCTATGGTGAGCTGTGATCATGCCACTCCAGCCTGGATGACAAGAGAGCGACCTGACTCAAAAATAAAAATAAAAAATGAATAAAAGTAGATCCTCTGAAATGTCTTATAAATGACTCTTCCCTTCATTGCTTTACTACCTTAATCTCTGGCCTTCAAGGGCCAGGATTATAAAAGCTATAAAACACAGATAATCTACCCCATGAATACAAGCGACAAAAGGGGCCGGGCATGGTGGCTCAAGCCTGTAATCCCAGTACTTTGAGAGGGCAAGGTGAGAGGATTGACTGAGCCCAGGGGTTCAAGACCAGCCTGGGCAACTTGGTGAGACCTCATCTCTACAATAAATGAAAAAATTAGCCAGGTGTGGTGGCACACACCTGTAGTTCCAGTTACTTGGAAGACTGAGGCAGAAGGATTGCCGGAGACCAGCAGGTCAAGGCTGCGGTGGCCGTGAGCGTGCCACTGCACTCAGCCCGGGTGACAGAGTGAGACTTTAACTCAAAAAACAACAACAACAACAAAAACCAAGCAGACAAAAGGAAGCCATGTGCACACAGTATGATGGTGACACTGTTGCGGGTGGTGCCTTGAGTCTTCACTTTTGACATGTCTGTTACTTGAGTCAACTGGTTTCCAGCTGACCAGTCAGATGGGAAGTGGGGAGAAATGTCAAGGTTCTCAAATGAGGATGATGTGCAGAGACCCTTATCTAGCAGGATCAACTGCTGAGTCCCACTGTCAGCTGGCGAACTTGAGGACCCCTGGAATTTCAGATTTATCTTCCTGGCATCAAACCAAATAGACTTCAAAAACAGAAAAAGAATAACTTCCAAATTATGCAGATTTTCTTCCAACACCTGGATACAACAGAAAAAAGATGAGCTCAAACCTCAGAGAACCTGGAATCTGCCCAACTCAAGCCGTTTATAGCTTCAAGGTATTAAAGAGCTATTAGGAAAGTTTATGAGTTTGATGGAGTCGGTGGCATTTCACAAGCCTTCACAGGTCAGCCTCAAGATAGCAGCCTTTCCGTCTCCCTGTGGTGGCGTTTCAAAAAAGGGTTTCTTTGGTCGGCGTTCATTTCTACCTCAGTTTTATGCAGCATTGGGAGGCATGTGCCCTGATTTTAGTTTTTGTTTTTCATTCAGAATTGATGCTGAAGGCAATAACATTTCTTGGGGATTATTTAGTAAAACAGAGCAGGAGAGAGAATGATTTCTTTCACAGTATGTGGAGAATAATGAAAATAAAGAAATAAGGCTGGGCGCAGTGGCTCACAGCTATAATCCCAGAACTTTGGGCGGCTAAGGTGGGCAGATTGCTCAAGTGCAGGAGTTCAAGGCCAGTCTGGGCAACACAGTGAGACCTTGCCTCATAAAAAAAGAAAGAAAAAAAAAGAAAAAGAAATAGACCTTTTCCCTATTCAAGGGGCCTTGACTCATTACTAATACAGGCATAGCAAACAGAACTTATCATTTGAAATAATCTTTTCTATCTCATTATTTAACCAAAACAAATTGCTGATTCATTATTTATCCTGGTTAATACACTGAAAATGAACAAAGACTATGCTAATGAATCTATTGTCTTTATAATTTATTATTAGGGCTACAAGATCCTTCTTTCAATAGTTTCTGGCAATATCCCAAGCCTTCCCCAGGCCCCAATATTTAAACATTTGGCTCTGTGCAACTTTTTCTTTCAATTTCTGATTGTTTCCTTATCTCACAGTGAGAGCCAGATTTATTTTTTCATTTTTAGTGTATGGTCTGGAATGGATTACAGTTCCTGTAAATGTAACCCTACATACCTAAAATAGGAACAGTATCAAAGCACACAGAAAGGATTGGGAGCCGTGGCTCACACCTATAATCCCAGCGCTTTGGGAAGCTGAGGCAGGAGGATGGCTTGAGCCCAGGAATTTGAAACCAGCCTTGGCAAAATAATGCGACCTTGCATCTACTAAAAATAAAACAAAATTATATAAATAAAAATTAGCTGGGCATGGTGGTGCATGCCTGCAGTCCTAGCTTCTTAGGAGGCTGAGGTGGGAGAATCCCTTGAGCTCAGAAGGTCAAGGATGCAATGAGCTATGATCATACCATTGCACTCCAGCCTGGGTGACAGAAGGAGACCCTGTCTCAAAAGACACAGAGAGAGAGAGAGAGAGAGAGAGAGAGAGAGAGAGAGAGAGAGAGAGAGAGAGAGAGAGAGAGAGAGAGAGAGAGAAAGAGAGACAGAGAGACAGAAACCTGCATGATGTTTTTCAATATCAGGAGAATCATAGAATCCTTCCTGTGCGAAATTACCTAACTTGTCTCATCTTCTTCAAGCTTTCTCCTGGCATCAGAATAGAAAGATGGATGAGAATGATTTCATTCTTTACTGAAAAGTGTGGCTCTGGAACGGGAAAGCATATCATCTGTTCAAAAGAAGCTCTTTCTGGCAATAGTCATGGGGCCCGAAGTCATGATGGTTCCTAGTTACTCATTTCCAACCCCTGGATAAATTCTCAGCACGCGCAGGTGGGCATCTGGCCTGCAGATGAGTGAAAAATGTTCTCACACCTCACCTGGAAGTCAGCTGTTCCTTCCACTAGGACAAAAAACTGAAACCTGGCACGAAGGCAGGACCCACCCACTGGACCCTGGGACTCACCAGTTCTCAAACTCAAGCACACATCAGAACCACCTAGAAGGCTTGCTTTCACCACACGAATTGCTGGGTCTCATCCACAGTTTCAGATTCAGAAGGTCTGGGGAGGAGTCTGAGTATTTGCATTTCTAACATACTCACTGGTAAATAGATATTACTGGTTTTCACTTGTAAGTTGTAATCCCAGCACTTTGGCAGTGCGAGACAAGTGGACTGCCAGAGCCCCTGGGTTTGAGACCAGCCTGGGCAACTTGGCGACACCTCGTCTCTACAATAAATCAAAAATTAGCCGGGCGTGGTAGTGTGTGTCTGTAGTTCCAGCTACTTGGAAGATTGAGGTGGAAGGATTGCCTAAGCCCAGCAGGACAACGCTGGGGTGGCCGTGAGTGTGCCACTGCACTCCAGCCTGGGCAATGGAGTGAGATTCCAACTCAAAAAAAAAAGAAAAGAAAGTTGTAAAATCCTAGGTAACATAAAATTAGCTACTTGAACCTCAGTGTCCGCAAGAAGGATGGAGAATTACAGAACAGATGAAGGGGAATCCTCCTGCCCCGACCCCCACCAATCCTCACCCAAGCCAAGGCTGCAGCAGAGGTAACAACTGGGTGTGGCACAGTACCAGCCCACAAAAAACAGTTTGGATCTAGGGTGAGGAGTGCATGGTCATTATTTCATTGAGCAAATATGTTGTGCCAATTGCGAGCAAAATGCTGGCGAAACAACTTGGGTGGATCACACAAACCAGTAACTGGATCATCAAGGGTGTAATGAAAGGTCCGATACTGCCCTCCTCACCGTTAAACCCCATCAGCCCCATCTCCTTCTTTTTATTTATTTATTTATTCATTTTATTTTATTGAGTTGGAGTCTCATCCTGTCACCCAGACTGGAGTGCAGTGGCCGCTCCCGGCCACCGCAGCCTCGACCTGCTGGGCTCCAGCGATCCTTCCGCCTCAGCCTTCCGAGTAGCCGGAATTATAGGCATGCGCTACCACACCCGGCTGATTTTTTTGATTTATTGTAGAGATGAGGTCTTGCTGCCCAGGCGGGTCTCGAACCCGTGGGCTCAGGCAATCCACTCACCTCAGCCTCCCAAAGGTGCGGGATTACAGGCTGAGCCACCGAGAAAGCAGACAACCTCACAATCCCCTCAACTCTGTGGCACCTACTGGGTTCCACCCGACACTCAGTAACACCCACTGGAAGGACAAATGAGCAATTGGGTGATGAGACCTGGCCCACAACTGCCAGGTGGTCACATGTGGACCTTCCTGCTCATTAAGTAGGGAAGCCTTGGCCTAGACAACGAATTTCATCTCAGCTCTAAGAAACAAACTGATCCCACCACAGGGCATCCTCACCCCTCACAGCTCAGAACAGTGTCTGGGAGGTAATGTAGAGCTCAGGGTATTGCAGACTGGGCTCTTCCAGAGACACAGACCCTCCTGAAACCTTCCAGAACCTTCCAACTCTTTCCCTCCACACTTTGAGTCACTCCCAGTTGTCGGGCCCTCCAGAGCAGCCAGGAACAAGGCATTAGGACAAAGCAGTGAGAACAAGATGCTATGATGTCCTTCACAGGAACAAAGGTTTGGTTAGAGAAGGGATTTACACTGAAGTCAAATTTAAGTTTTCTTGATATTTTTTCAAGCTGCTGTCAGAAGGCTATGCTGCTCCTATGCCACCTGCTATGGAGGCCCATGGCTTGCAGGGATGGTTCCTTCTTTTTGGCCCTTTCTCTTGTAATCAAGATGAAGAGCATGACCGTTCCGTGAGCCAGTCCCCATGTTGTCCAGCATGCCAAGGTGACTGGAGCTAAGCTGGTCTGGTCGCTCACCTGTCAGCTCTGGCAGTGTGAGAATGAACTTGTTGTAGCAGGTGGGGGACCAGAGCACAGGTCCTTCCCCAACGACTGTCTCACACCCATGTCACTGCCAATTTTGCCACCACTTCCTGTGGGGTGGTCCCAGCACCTGATCCCAGGCAATGACACATCAACATTAAGGAACTCAGATCATCAGAGCAGCATTAATCCAATGTGCTGGTTTTAGTCTAGATGGGGGAAGGGGAGGGGATTCTCTTACACTAAAATACTAAAGTCCCTTCTGTCGCCTCTTCTCCACCTTTTATTTCTCATGTGGCTACACTGCCCAGAGTGGGAGATAAAATGCATCTGTCCTCTACAAAGTGGTACAGTAGCAGATATATCTACCTGGGCAGGTGTATTCCTCACGGAAGGCACTAGAACTCCATGTGTCCTTCAAGAAGTCTTACATATGGAATGGAAACTAGAACCTCTTCAGAAAAAAAAAAAAAGGACTGGAGCAAGTTACACATTGTCATAGAGCATGGGCAGTTTGCCAGGCCATTGTAGAAGCAGCCTCCACAGTCCATCCTTCTATCATGCTCTGTAGTTCCCTATCTCCTGCAAATTGTTTTCTGAGCTCAGTAAGTTAAACAGAGTTGTCCAACAGGATACTGTCAGATAAGTCCTGAGCAGCCACTGAGCTCAGTACTTAACAACAGCCCCAGGAGGACAATGCTTGCCCGGCCCTCTGCCTGCTGCTCTGGGCTCCTTTCATCCAAACTCCACTCAAGAGGCACATGTTCCTTGCATTCTTTTTTTTTTGAGTCGGAGTCTCACTCCGTCGCCCAGACTGGAGTGCAGTGGCCGCTCCCGGCCACCGCAGCCTCGACCTACTGGGCTCCGGCGATCCTTCCGCCTCAGCCTTCCATTCTTTTGCTAACACCTGAAACGAAGGGATCTGGCAGATGGGAGTCATCTGAGGCTACAGGCTGCTCAACTTACAAAGTCTACAAAGCGGTGCAGTGTCCGATATAGATGGGGGGGGCCCAAAAAAGTCCGGAATGTATTTATTAAAAGTTGTGTATTTATTCTTACGTGTTTCAACATCAGTCATCTTCAAAATACTCTCTATCTGATGCAATACACCTATTGAGATGCTTTTTCTACTGTTCACAACAGTTTTTGAACTCATCCATTTTGGTATCTTTTAGTGCTTCCGCCATTTTTTGTTTCACATCAGCAACACATTTCCCCTTGAGGACTTTTTTCATCCAGGAAAACAAACAAAAAAGTCACTCAGGGTTGAGATCGGGTGAATAGGGAAGCATGAGGGTCAGGCTGTTTTGGGTCAAAAACTGTGGAACACTCAGGTGTGGACAGGTACATTGTCATGATAGAAGAACCAGTCACCTGTTTGCCACAACTTGGGACGTTTCTTCAGCAAATTGTCTCTCACAACAATGCTAGCTCGTACAATGCTGAAGGATTCCTAGAACACTCACCTAGCAGGGGGAAGCCTGTATTACAAGGGTCTTGCCCACCAAATGATAATTCCTGTTTTCGGGGGGTTCCCCCTCATATCTACCTGGGTAGGTGTTTCCCTTATGGAAGGCACTAGAACTCTATTTGTCCCTCAAGAAGTCTTACCCATGGAATGGAAACTAACTAGAACCTCTCCAGAAAAGAAGTATTGAAAAAGTCAGGTGTAGTGGCTCACGCCTGTAGTCCCAGCGCTTAGAGAGGTGGAAGTGAGAGGACTGTCTGAGCCCAGGGGTTCAAGATCTCATCTCTAAAGCCGGGCTCGGTGGCTCAGCCTGTAATCCTGAGCTTTGGGAGGCTGAGGTGAGTGAATTGCCTGAGCCCACGGGTTCGAGACCCGCCTGGGCAACTTGGTGAGACCTCATCTCTACAATAAATCAAAATTTAGCCAGGCATGGTAGCGCGCGTCTGTAGTTCCAGCTATTTGGAAAGCTGAGGCGGAAGGATCGCCGGAGCCCAGCAGATTGAGGCTGTGGTGGCCATGAGCATGCCACTGCATTCCAGTCTGGGCAACAGAGTGAGACTTCCACTCCAAAAAAAAAAAACAAAGAAAGAAAGAAAGAAAAAAGTACTGGAAAAAGTTATATGTGTCACAGAGTGGTGTGCTCACGGAGGCCAGGAGCTCAGAAACCCTCTTATTTCTCTGCACTCAGTCCTCAGGGCCCTGTCCTCCACACACAAACATACCCACCTCCCCCACCTACCGTGAGGTCACTCCTGATGGCAAAGTTTTCAGGCTTGACGTCACAGAGGTGGAGGCGGTGGGAGAAATCGCTGTCGAAGTGCTTCACCATGTCCAAGAAGCTGAGAGCGATGTCGCTGATGGCCCTGACCTGGCCCGGGCCATCCCCAGAGGGACCTACGGTCTCATCCAGGGGGAAGAGGGCCTTGTGGTGGGGGCTGCCTGCAGCCAGGAACTCCACCGCGTAGAAGTGGCCGCAGGAGCCCAGCACGGGCAGGACGTGGTGGCTCAGGTCCTGCAGCAGGCTGAAGTACACGTACTCCTCCTGCTGCAGCAGGGCCCACAGGCTGGCCAGCTCCCCCCCCCAGCGGGGGCCCCGCCCGCCCAGCCACAGCGGCCCCAGGCTGCTGTTTGACAGCTCCAGGCCCAGGGCACTCTTGACCTCTCCGGCCACCATCAGGAGGAGTTCTGCCTCAGAAATGTCCTGGCCTCCCTCCTCCACCTCCTCTTCCAACAAGCCAAGGGGTGGGAAGCTGGAGAAGGCCTCCTGCTCGGACTTGAGGACCACAGGCCGGCCGCCCCAGTCGACTTGAAGCACCTTCTTGCCCCTGTGGTAGTACAGGCAGCGGCGATACAGCAGCTTCCCAGCCACACACAGGTCCTCGCAGAGGTCTCCAGAGAGTGCGCCGCCCCGGTAGTCCTGGCACTGGAAGGAAGGGCGCAGTCAGTCATAACAGACTGGGGACAGGGAAAGGGACAGGTTGGGGATGCTTAGAAGCCAGCTGTTGAGAGAAACCTCACGCAAGTGAAGAGCAGAAGCCATTCAGGTCAGTGAGTTATGAGGGGAGAGTTAAAAGAGCATCTTGGCTGGGCATGGTGGCTCACACCTATAATCCCAGTGCTTTGGGAGGCCAAGAAGGGAGGATCAATTGAGCTCAGGAGCTCAAGACCAGCCTGGTCAATATAGCGAGACCTCAAATCCACAAAAAATCAAAAATTAGCCAGGCATGGTAGCACATGCCTGTAGTCCCAGCTACTCGGGAGGCTGAGAAGAAAGGATTGCCTGAACCCAAGCGGTTGAGGCTGTGGTGAGCCATGAGACCCTGTTTCAAAAAAAAAAATGCATCTCACAGTCATTATGTTACTCAGTCAGGCCTAAGACAGGTCTTCACAATCAGGACACGTGCAGGACAAAAGCATGACTATCATTGTCCAACTGGGAGGTCCTGGGGAAACCTTAGGCCACAAAATTGTCAGATGAAGGGGCTGGATTGGACAGCAGCTCTCAACTCTGTCTATACTTTACGGTCACCCAGAGAGTTTTACTGCCCACCTCTGTGAAGAATTAAGTCGAGTCTCAGCAGATGGGACCCTGGGACCCTTCCCAGCCCTCAGGGTCAACCCCAGTTATGATTCTTCCAGCAGGCACATTTCTTGAGCTTACTGTTTTCAACATGAAATGGTATAGCCTCTTAATCTAGGAGGGTTAGATAAAGGAGAATTTGCTGGAGGGTGTAGGAGTAAGAACAGGGCTCATGGTTGGGCACATGCCTGTAATCCCATTACAGGCTCATGCCTGTAATCCTAGCACTTTGGGAGGCCAAGGTGAAACAACTGCTTTAGCCCAGGAGTTCAAGACCAGCCTGAGCCACATGGCATGACCTCATCTCTACAAAAAAAGAACAAAACATGAGCCAAGTGTGGTGCTGCATGCCTGTAGTTCCAATTACTTTGGGAGGCTGAGGTGGGAGGATCACCTGAGCCCAAAAAATTGAGGCTGCAGTGAGCTGTGACTGTGCTACTGCACTCCAGCCTGGGTGACAGAGTAAGATCCTGATTCAAAAAAACAAAAACAAACCAGCCAGCAAAAAGTGCAGCACGCATGGCTGGTGAACTGGAGAGAAGAAATCAGGCAGGAGCTACTTAGCTGCATTCTAGACGCACAGGGAGTGTTCTGGGCGCTGGTGAAGAAGCCCATCCAGGAGCCTCAGATGGGGCATTTCTCCAAAACTTCTGGAGACCTTAGGATGGAGCCACTGGGGGACCTGGTGACCCTCTCACCACACTGCAAAGTCCCTAAGACTATCCATTTTGACAATCCTGTAAGATGGAGGGGAAAGGGAGAAGTGTACAGTGTGGAGAGAGGGAGGATGACAATTCTCCCCTCTTTTTAAAATCTTTTTTGGGGCCGGGCTTGGTGGCTCAGCCTGTAATCCTGTGCCTTGGGAGGCCGAGGTGAGTGAATTGCCTGAACCGGAGGATTCGAGACCCGCCTGGGCAACTTGGCAAGACCTCATCTCTACAATAAATAAAAAAAAAAAAAAATCAGCCAGGCATGGTAGCACACGCCTGTAATTCCAGCTACTTGGAAGACTGAGGTGGAAGTATCGTTGGAGCCCAGCAGGTCGAGGCGGTGGTGGCCGGGAGCAGCCACTGCAGTCCAGTCTGGGTGACAGAGTGAGACTCCAACTCAAAAAATAAAATAAAATAAAATAAAATCTTTTTTGGAAGCCCTCTGGACCAACTATTAAGGGTGAATATATTTTTCAATTCCACCCATGCCCCCCGCAAAAAAATCTTCCTCCCACCTTAGCAGATAAAAGGCTTCTCTTGCATCCTAGAACTTTCAAGCATGTAAAACAAGAGTCACCCCAGTTCTTCCAAAGTGACAGATAAATCCAAAACCCTCGAATTCCTTTTCTCACCCCACTTATTATAAATTGCCTGGAAGGGTCAGCTGTGGCCAATGTGCTGCCTGGTGCCCTGGACAAAGAACTGGACCAAAGCCAGAGAGCATGGATTCCCAACCATGCTGCAATGTCCTGAGAACGGCACCTAACTACTCTGGGCCTCAAACTCCTTCCCTGCATCACATCTGCTCTGCCTGCCTGGCATGGTGGTTTTACAAGCCCCATGAGGAGTGGATGTGGACAACATCAGGTACACATGGGTGCATGGCCTCACAGGAGGGCCCTGCACTAGCATCCAGGTAGGTGGTTACATATGGTCCAAACACTGGCCAGATGTGTGGTGTAGGACAGCTTATCAACCCAAACAGATGACAGCAGCTCCTTAAAGTCAAAAAACTGTACTTCCAGTGTCTGAACATATAAATACTTCCTATTCAAATCAGCTCGAAAACTATGAGATTTTCATGACTCACTTGGCCCCATGCGGTGTCAAAACCCAACAGAAAAGATGTAAGGCTATTTATAGTCTCTGTATATTCAACTTGGTGTGAACTTGAACCCATTTTGCTGCAGAATGATTAACTTACTTGATTACTGACACTGCCCCAAATGCAAAATAAAGTATATGTGCCATATTATCTTTTGAACATCCAAACACTTAAATTTTAAACATGCCTGGCACCAAGAAGTTAGATAAGGGGTTGGGGACCTCTATAAACACTGCAGACTAGTGGCTCAAATAAAAAAGTACGTATTAAAAATAAGTACTGGCCAGGTGCGGTGGCTCATACCTGTAACCCCAGCACTTTGGGAGACTGAGGTAGAAGGATTGCTTGAGCCCAGGAGTTCAAGACCAGCCTGGATAACAAAACAAGTCCTTGTCTCTTCAAAAATAAAAAATAAATTAGCCAGGCGTGATGGTGCACACTTGTAGTCCCAGCTACTCAGGAGGCTGAGGCAGGAAGATCACCTGAGCCTAGGAAGTCAAGGCTGTAGTGGGCCATGACAGTGCCACTGACTCTAGCCTGGGAGACAAAGTGAGACCCCAACTCAAAAAAACAAGTACGCCAAGTACTTTAAAGAAGTATCTTGATCTAGAATTGCAGGACAATTTCAGGTCATTCAACAGTCTAAAAGACCAAAGCAAGATGTCTGAGCTGACCCCTCTGGTTTCCTACTGAGGGGATCCTGCCAGCCACTGGGCTTTAGATCTGTGTATATCATAGGGAGAGGTGGTCACACTTAGTAAACATGATGACTCAAGCCATAGAGATCTGTAGATAAAAGCCAGGCATGGTGGCTCACACCTGTAATCCCAGCACTTTGGGGGACTGAGGTGAGAGGATTGCCTGAGTCCAGGGGATTGAGACCAGCCTGGGCAACTGGGTGAGACCTCATCTCCACCATAAATAAATTTTAAAAAAATTAGTCGGGCATGGTGGCGCAGGCCTATAATTCCAGCTACTTGGAAGACTGAGGCAGAAGGACTGCCTGAGTCCAGCAGGTCGAGCAACCTGGGCGACAGAGTGAGACTCTGACTCAAAAAAATAAAAATAAAAAAGTACGAGAGAGAGAGCGAGAGAAAGATCTATAGATAGAAAGTCATAAACCTGGCTGGACACAGTGGCTCACACTTGTAATCCTAGCACTTTGGGAGACCAAGGCAAAGGATTGGATGAACCCAGGAGTTCAAGACCTGCCTAAGCAACAAAGACCTTGTCTCTACAAAAAAAAATTTAAGAATTAGCCAGGCAAAAATTTAAAAATTAGCCAGGTGCAGGAGGCTGAGACAGAAGGATCATCTGAGTTCAAGAGGTAGAGGCTGCAGTGAGCAAGGATTGTACCACTGAACTCCAGCCTGGGTGACAGAGTGAGACTCTAACTCAAAAAAAAAAGTCAAGAACCTGATCTCAGAGCTGGTCATGCCACTCTGTTTCCCAGGGCTGGCTCTCTGTCTTTGGAAACCCACACCCATGAGGAAGCTATATTAACACATACCACCAGCAGCTTAAACACACTTTGAATTGTGTGCATCTTGAAATTTACTAGAATTTTGGTAAAATGCCATGCTTTGGCTTTAACTCAACACTCTTCCAAGGCGTGGGGTCAACAAATGAGCATAGAAGGGTCAGGACCCTTTGTATTAGCAGGCCATGCTTGTAATGGTTTCCATGCCGGTTTCTTAAGAGAACAGCAGCAGCCAGGCTGCTCTGAGACCTTCCCAGATAGTCCCAAGAGACAAAGTGAGGAGGGGTGGTGAAGAACTGGGCAGCCAAGGAGTGAGAAGATATGGGTGCCAGAAATTGTATGGGTTGCTCATATTACTTGTTGTGGGTTTTATCCCCCTACTTTAGCTGATATTTACTGAGCTTCACACCACTATGATACGAAAATGCAAAACATCGTTTCCTGGTTTCTTTATAAATTAAAAAAAAACAACCTTGTATGATATCCAAAATGGTTTGATTCAATTCCAACAACACGTGATAGTGTCATCACCTTTTTAATTTAATCAAAAGTGCCTTCTCATAAAGTACGGAACACAATTGAGAAAGAAAGACAGCAAGTGGCTGGATGAAGTGGCTCATGCCTGTAACCCCAGCACTTTGGGAGACCGAGAAGGGAGGATTGCTTGAGCCCAGGAGTTCGAAACCAGCCTGGGCAACATAGCAAGACTTCATCTCTACCAAAAAAAAAAAAAGAAAGAAAAAACTTGGTGGGTGTAGTATATGCCGGTGGTCCCAGTTACTTGAGAGGCTGAGGCAGAAGGATTACCTGAGCCCAGAAGTTTGAGGTTGTGGTAAGCCATGACAGTGCCACTGTACCCCAGTCTGGGAGACAGAATGAGACTCCAATGAGAGAGAGAGAGAGAGAAAAAGGGGGAGAGAGCCCGCAGACCACAGATGTTGGGCGTGGCAGGAGGTGTGATCTGAGCTGGGAGTTCCAGGTCCCTCAGAGCTGCAGAGGGGATGTGCAGGGGACACTCAGTGCTGGGAGGGAACATGCAGCAGAGACT